TCAGATTCCTTCTATCTCAACAAAGAAAGTCCATTACCTTAGACAGAAAATGGCTCCTCTCTGACCTGCCCATTCCCAAAACCAAGACAAAAATCCTTTCCTTTCTAGGCCCTTTCTAAGCCTAGCTAGATATTTTAGAACGTAGATCCCTAACTTCTCCCTGCACCCTGTTGGCAAGACCCCTATACAACCTCAGCAAGAGCCCCCCTAAAAAACCATTATCCTCCTCACCCCGACACTCCTTCATTAAGCTCCGTCAAGCCCTTGTGGAAGCCCCAGCTCTCCATCTTCCTGATTTGTCGAAGCCCTTCTCATTATACATTCATGAGAGGTCCAGTCAAGCTCTAGGAGTCCTAGGCCAATATTATGGCCCATCCTTTGCCCCAGTAGCTTATCTCTCCAAGCAATTAGACCCCACAGTTCAGGGATGGGCCCCCTGCCTACGAGCATTAGCCGCTAGACAGCTCTTGCAGAAAGAAGCTCATAAACTGACATTCAGGGCGCCCCTTACCATTCTGTCCCCACATCACCTAAAAGATCTCTTAACCTACAAAAGTTTACAGACTCTCCCTCCCTCCAGACTCCTGACCTTACTGTCCTCTTTCCTCCAAAATCCCGTTCACCCCCTTTGCCATCCATACCCGAATCATGACTTTTTCCTCCTTTACTGCTCTCTCGCTTTTTTTCCTCATTCCTATTGTCTTCCCCGCCACCCCAGCCTCCTTTGTATGGCGATTCAAAGTCAGACAGACTTACACACAGCATCAAACAAAAGTTACTGCCCTCATTGCCACACCAGACTGCCCTCTGAAAAGCTGCTCTGAGCCTTTATACCTCCACTTTCCTCCCTCCACCGAAGTGTTCACTAGCAGCTACCCTTATTCTCCCTACCTCTGCTTCCTCTATGACCAAAAACAAGCCTATTGCAGGCGATGGCAAGACACCTACGGGGGATGTCCCTACTGGTCTTGCGCCATTCACTACATGGGTAACTTCCAGTACCCACAGTATTACTCCTCCAACCGTTTCATGAAATATCCCAACGGCTCATTCTCCTTATCAATCCCAGATCCCTGGGACTCTCGATGGGCTGCCAGAGTCACAGCCTCAGTTTACTACGGGGGGTCCTTGACCCTCCACAGTACCCTTCATATCTCTCGAAAGTATGTTCCCTCTCATTCCCAGATCTCTCAAGTTGCATCAGATATCAGACATTCCGAAAAAGTCATTATCCAAACTCTTGACGGCGCCTCTTCATCTTCTTATCCCCACCCCTCTTCCCATTTCTCCTACTCTTCATTACAGCTCATTCAGGACACCACCATCTTTCTCAACCACACCCTTAACACAGCCAATTGTTTCTTGTGTGCATCACTACAGCGCCCACTGCTGGCCGCCGTGCCCCTTAATATTTCCAACTACTCCTTCCATGCAGAAAGACAACCCCTCTGCCCCCTGGCAGACATACCCCTATGGGAACCAGAATACGCAGATAATCTCACCATCCACCACTGTGTAGGCCCAACTCCACCCCCCTCCAGTGCACTTCACTGCCTCTCTATCTACACCCCTACCTCCGGCTCTAAGACTTTTACGCAACCGGGACACTTCTTTTAGTGTAATGGCAGTCTTTTCAACTCACTGCCTCTCAACTCCGATACACCCTGCATTCTCGTCACCCTAATCCCACAGTTAACACTTTACAGCATGGCAGAATTCCTTGAGCTCCAACCTCCCTTGCCCTCGTGCACAAAAAGAGCTGCTTTCCTTCCCATCATGGTCAGTAGCTCTTTGATCACCTCAGCCATTGGGGCAGGGTTTTCGGGAGGAGCCTTGGGTCACTCTCTATGGGCAGTTAGAGATCTCAACGCCAAACTTGAGGGAGCCCTGACATCCACTGCCGATTCCCTAGCCTCTCTCCAAAGACAAGTCACTTCGCTAGCTAAAGTCACCCTTCAAAACCGGCGGGCCCTAGATCTGCTTACAGCCGAGAAGGGTGGCACCTGCGTCTTCCTCCAGGAAGAGTGCTGCTATTACATCAACGAATCCGGCATTGTAGAAACTGACATCACCAAACTCACTGACCTTGCCTCCAGCCTCCACTCTGCTTCCAATTCCAACCCATTCTCTTCAATACTAACAAACCCCCTCCTCACCTGGCTCTGGCCCATTGCAGGCCCCATAATAATCATTCTTCTCGCCTGTCTCTTCTTACCCTGTATAATAAAGTTCATCAAATCCCAAGTCGGAAAAATCTCTAATCAAGCTTTCAACCAGCTTTTACTCAGGAACTACCAGCTTCTGGCCACGGAAGACCCCTCACCCTCACGTGACCTCCTCACCACACGCTGAGATGGGCCCCTCTCCCTGCTGGAAACTGTTCCTAGAAACAATGGCCGCAGACGCCTGGCTCCTGACACCCATATCCTCTTGGCACCATTGGAATCAACAGGTCCTCGGCCTATGGTTACAGGGAACCTTCATTGATTTCCAACCTGAAGAAGTCCACATCTACTCATCCTTACTGTGGGGAATCCTATCAACCCTTTCCTCCCAGTCCTCAAGCCCTCACTCCCTTGTCCATCCCCATTCAGCAGGAAGCAGCCAGAGAGAATGCAACATCCACAACCCCATAGAGGAGAAAGGGGGGAATGAAGGGCCCCCACCAGTAAGATGGCAAACTTCCGGCTTCTCTTCGGGGTCCTCAGTTCCCACCAGTGCCACCTGAAGCCCAATCACCTCTTGCCCCCCTCCCAATCCCAGCACCTAGCCAAGAGCCACCAGCCCCGTAGAAGTGACACCTCAATCAATTCATGCCCCTTCCTATATTACCCAGCAGCTTTCCCTAATAAAGCGGAATTCTCCGGTGAATTGCTGCTGTGTGTCGCTCCTTTCCTTTCAAGCACCATTGAGGAAATGGTACAGAAAGCTGTCACTGAGGTAAAGAAGTGCCTACATATGGCACATGGAGAGGTGCACTTGTTTTGGTTTGGTTTTTTGGCAGTTTGGCAGCTATCCTCCTTTGAATTCCTTCAGAAGCTGACCCTGAGAAACACATTCAAGTGCAAGGTGATTTTGGGGAGACAAAGGAAACATTACCAGGGGAGGCAAGTAAGTTCTGAGGAGGGAAGGCAGCCAGTAAGGGGTATGTTATCCAGCCAACTGCCACAGTGAAAGATTCGAGCTTCTCTCACCTGGGAATGCTGGTAAATGGTATAAACACACAGTTATCCCACCCAAGGAGACAGCGAAGAGAGAGGGGCCTCCCACCAGTCCTTCTGGCACCTGCTGCCAGCCCTGGGGATGAGCAGAGCCTCCTTTGCTGGCTTCGAGAAACAGCCTGTGAGTAAAGACACAGGCAGTTGGATGTCAGTCAGCCAGAGCACACCGAAGCAGTGACGTTCACGGGATATGAGTACGTTTCTGCCATAGTATCTGGACTTGATCCAAGGTTTGGACAATTGCCAGCTTTATGACCCTTGGTAGGAAAGAAAAACCACGTAGCACCATGGAAACATAAACTGTGAAGTGCAGGCTTTCTCAGACTCCCTGGCAGCTCGGACAGGCACATGAACTAGGCTCCACCAATCAGACACACGTGAACAATTTAAACAGGAAGTTCAGCAAAGCTCTCTCCTTCTATTGAGACAGGGACGGTGGGTGTAGTCAGAGTAGAGTGAGGGCCCGGGAAAAGCAGGGCAGAATGTTTACAGTCAGAGCAAGGTAACAATGGGCAAAGAAGTCCCTACTGAAACTCTGTGCTAAGCATTATGCAATGTCAAGGTTACACTAATTCTTTAGAGTAAAGACATAGACATCTTCAGTGAGATCAGTTAAAGGTCAAAAAGCCAGGAGCAACTTGGCCTGGAATGTTTGAGTGCTCTGCAAGGGTCTCAGCATAACCCGTGACTCCCCTGTCAGCCCTGGCAATCAGACTACGACCCAGCCCACCTTGAGGACAGGGCAGGTGGTACAAGTCCACACCCCTAAGCCTTTTTTTTTTGGATGTTCTCGAAAAATCCTCAACTGCCTATAAACCCTCCTAGACAGCGCACCACTAGGGGCTCTCTTGTCTCCTCCTGGTGTGAGCCCTATTCTCTCATTTTATTTCTAAATAAAAGCCTCTGCCCTTGCTCTCCTACCTTGAGCGTTTGTGAAGCTCATTCTTCGGCTTTGTGAACAAGAACTCCGGCATCACTATCAAAGGTAATAGTAGCTAATGTATCAAAATCAAATTTAGCATACCAAGCAGATGGATCTTCCCAACTCGCTTCTGTCTCCAGCTTTTCTTTCTGGAGACATACACACATCATCAGCTATAAAATTTGAAGGACCCAGTGTAAAATGAAAATACGGTTATATGGTTTTTTGTTCAAAGAGCAGACGAAAAGTACATGTAAAACATTTTTCACTTCTTCCAGTTCTCTCTAGACTTGTCATGCTGTTTTTTATTTGCTATTTAATATTAATTTGAAATATAGTGAAGTGAAAATTAAATTTTAGCATGAATTTAACCATTCATCTTTACATTGTGCAATGCCAGTTTTAAATGCAAATGTCAAAGTATTTAACTTATTTGTGACATCACCAAAATCATAAAATTCATATTTTGTGGCCCAGAGGAGGCCTTGAGATGGCCAGCAGAGACAAAAAGAGGCCAGCATCAAGAAAGTTGGAAGGAGGAAGAGGGGTTCCCTCCAGTCACAGAGCTTGGAGACCATCACAGCACTCAGGTGCCCCTCTCACCACGGGAGGCCCTGCTCTGCCTCCAGCATCAGGGGCGCCAGCTTCCCCACCACGTGCTATGCCTCAAAAGGGAGGCATCTGGGAAGGTCCAGCCAGTCATCTCCCTGTCACCCAAGCCACACAAATGAGTGAAACCTTGTAATCTTTCACCTCCATGCTGAGAAGCACAAAGCACCTGGATCCGAGCTGGGCTCTAGGCTAGTCCTCGCTGACAAGGGGCCTCTGGTCCCATTAAACGCTTCATCATTTGCCAGAGCAGCAGAGGACGAATGTAAGCAAGCCCAGCCCAAGACAGGCCGGATGCACACGCCCAGCCCTGACCGCCTGCGCTCTGCACCAGCTCCTCCCACAGACAGAGGCTGGCAGCCATGAGGGCGGTGGAGGGAGGCGGGGCCAAGCAAGCGAGTAACAGAGCCCCTCCCGGGTTGGGGGGACGGCGGGGCTGCAAGAGAGCTACACAGCCTGGCACACTGCATTGTCTGAGCAGCGTGGATTAAACGCTAGTGAGTTAAGAATCTCAAGACCGCACACGCATGCAGCCAGCGCGGTGCACATACGCACAGTTCCCTTGACGACGGGCAAGCTTCTTGAAAGAAAAGTTCATGCTCACTATCCTGTCTTCTCCCTCCCGTTCACATGTCAACTCATTGCGTCCTCTCCACAAGCAAGGATGGGTCAGGCTTTGTAGTACCTAAAGCTCACACAGTTTTGAGGCTATTTCAGAAGACAGGTTACAAAATATGTATGTGAGGTCAGGAATTCAAAGGAGAATATGCATTTGTCTTAAATTCTTAACCTCACAGTGAATGCTCCTGAAGCTCATGGTCCTACTTACACTTCCTTAGCTTCACAGTAAATCCTCCTCTTCAGCCCACAGTCTTTCTAACTGGCCTCCCATTTCCCTTCCAACTGCCAAATCTAATGGACAAACGTCAGGCTGAGTCTTCATATCCCCCCGTAATAGGTGTGGATATCACTGCCGGCTCGCTCCTTGAAACCCTCCAAGCTTGCTTCGAACACATCGTCCACCTTTGGGCTAATTCATTTCTTTGTCTTTCTCTGTTTAATTTCTTACACATGTGGTACCTGGGTAACTTTTAGTATACAAATTTGTTTCCAAAGGAAAGATATTACTTAAAATCACAATCTTATAAATACATATGGAAGTACTTTATAAATTGTAAAGGACTACATACATATGAAATATTATTATTACTAGGTGTTAGAGTCTATAATTTATCCAGCAAAGACTTTATCTTGATTTTTTTTCCAAATGATCTTTTTATATCCTAAGAGATATGCATGTAAGAGATTCTTGAAAGCTGCAGAAATGACTTTATGATTCATACAGTACTTCTATGGGTTTTATATATTTTGTATTCCCTGTTATAAAATAAATAACACTGAAAAATTAAATGAATGATGTTTATTGTGTGTATATCTGTTTCTCCCATTATATTCATGAAATTTTTACTTTTATGGAAATTAGTTACATGAAACTGAAGCAAAAATATCTAAATGTGGCAGATATATTTCCCTAAACAAAAATTATTCTGTCCAAAAGAAAACCAACCAAAATATGATTTCTCTTTCCTTATTTGAGTCTTCTCATGTATGCCACCCAAAATAATGACTTCATTTTCTATAAATTCTTTTTCTGCTGAATTTGTTGAATAGTTTTGCCTTTGCCTAAATAAGGATCAACCTATCAGGAGGCAGAGATTGTAAGATAAATTCTAGCGGAAATAAGCAGGCAAAGAGAGGCAACAAAGGGCCAGGTAATTTATTTAAATACCCCTGGGTGATGTTCTCTTGGCCTGGGTACTACAAGTCGGAGAAGTCACACCCGGTTAGGGAGGTGGGGTGCTTATAAGGGATTAGGAGGGGGAGGAGTGGGCAAGCTATCCTAAGGGATGTTGAGAGGTATGATTGACTAAAGGTAACATAATAGTCAACTAGAAACTTTTTTCCTTCCAAGAGGGAGGAGGCTGACATCCGGGTCTTAGTTGGCACATCAGAATGGAATTCAGGGAGAGCTGTCCCCTTTCCATATACGGCACGGACTTTGGGGTCTGGTCTGTTCTCCCCCTGTGGCATCTCTCTGTTCTGTTTGCATGTCCTTGTTTTTCTTTCCTCCAAACTAACATTCCAGCCTTTTGGTCATAATGGGCAATGACTCAATCTGGCTACTTCCAGCTGACAAGGGGCGTTGTGGGGGTTTGAGGCTGGTATTAGGCTGAAGGAGGGGGTTCAGTGGGAGGAGGTGCGTAACATTGAAGTAACATCTGGTTGGTGGCGACTCAGGTCATCTGGGTTAGCTGCTGTTGGAGGAACCTGAGGACACAAGGGGCAACTAAGTAAACCACAAACTGTTATTAAGGGGCCCAGTAGGGGCATTAGCTAGGCCATTATAGGGAACTGGAATTCTGGATCGAGTTTACATCTCAATGACTAGTATTAGGATTTAGTATAGATAAGACTGCATTACTGAAACAATACTTTTCTCTAAAATCACCCTTACTTTTATTAGAAGTAGTTAGATTAAGAAAATAATTAACAGTTGGCTTGATTATTTGCATAAGTGCAGCAAGAAGAGCAATTGATTACATGGGCTCTTTTAACTATGCTTTGCTGGAACTTTTTGTAAGGAATTTCAGATTGAACTTTTAAGGGCTTCTTGAGGCTAGAAAGCCAAGCCAGACTTGCCATCAGGTTGTGCCTGCAGTACCTGTAGATTTGGGTGAATTCCTCTCTTCTTTAGGTTCCTGCACCTGCCAGGAAGTGACCTTCTTTACTCACCTGGTAAGGCTGCTGGGAACTCTGTAAGCAAGGTACCAGGCTAGTTCTTCTAAGGGGCTTTGTTGGCTTTATAAAGTCAACCTTAGTTCCTTAAAGCTGTCCATATCTGAGTTTATGCACATGTCTCTCAGGTATGACATTCCAGTCAAAGCCTTGGTAGTATAGCCAGTGTTCTTAATTGGTCCTCTTACAAAGAGAGCAGGTGCTTATTGAACTTATGCAAATAAACATACTGCCATGAAATATAAAAATAGTCACTGAGAGTTTTTAAATTCTGGAGTGATCAGGCAGAGAGAAAGATAAAGTTTCAATTCTGCTTATAAAGGCAGTCATTTACTAAACTGTTGTCAGCTTAAGAGAAAAAGCTTAAAACACTTTATCAGCAACATCTGAAACAAAAAGTCACAAAATCATCTTTAGCTTACTTAATCTTATGTAACCAATACCTGTTCTGCTGAAACCTAGTTCTTTACTAGCTTGAGTAATAAAACAGTGTCTATAAATGGCAAAAGACTTACAAATGACCGTGATTAATGATCTGATGAGAGCTTACTTTAAGACAGTTGACATAAGGAAATTCAGATATTTCTGTAACACAAAACATTCAGTAACAAAGTTTAACATCATTCTCTTTGACAGTGCTTTCCAGGTAATTAAGCAGGTAATTATGTATCAGATAAATAAGCTAAATTAGTCAAATACTTTCTCCAATGAGAAAAAAATTCCTCTGGCATGTTCCAGGGGCTCTCTAGAAAATATCAGAGTTAACTAGAGGCAAAAGCACTTTTTTGAATTTGATTTTGGGAAGTTGTTAAAAGTCTTAAGGCACTTGCTTAAATAGGATTATAGGTTGCTATGAAGCAACACTTATCCAATTAACTAGAATGACAACAAAGTACTTCAAAGGCAAATAAAGAAGGTTACATAGTTATTATCAAAGTCTTAAAAGATTTAGCAGATAACATTGACTTAAATGACTTTAGGTAAACTTAGGCAGCTGATAACAGCAAGGACATGCTCGCCTCAGCTAAACTCAAATTTGCATTCATGCTTAACATTTTTACTAGATTCTCTGGAAGTTCTAGAATGCTCAATCTTCACAAGCGCTTGTTTTTAAATAAAATATTTTTCATCTATACACTTAGACACAAACGTACAAACTGAGATACAACGACTACAGTTAGCAACACTTTTCATATAAAAACATATACACAGATAGACAAACCGATACAAAGACTTAAGTTACTGATATCCAATTGCCATCTCTCTTCTCAGCTTCTTGTCTGTGGCTTCTGGGAACTAGAGGGCAGGAGGGGCATGTTCTGGTGGGGGAAGAGGGCAGTGAAGGCAGAAGGTGGTGCAGCCACTGGAAGAGGAGAGCAGGACAAGGGCATGGTTGAGAATGCAGGACTTTAAGATGGAGGCGACACGTGGGAAGACAAAAGACTTAGAGATGGTGGTGGAGAGAGGGGGTAGGGATTGGGAGCTGAGGGAGGTGGGCAACTGAGGTTTTCTGGCAGATCTGAAAAGGATGGACTGAGCAGAGTAAGAGGCTGACAATCTTTAACTGGAGATTGGGCCAGAAGAACCTGAGTTATAGAACACTTAACATAAAGGTTTTGACGGGAGTGCAAAGTCCAAAAAGCCTGCACATGTGGGATTTCATTCTACTTTCCACTCTGGTGGCAATAATTAGTTAAGTCGGTGAGGAGGCTAAAATCAAAAGTTCCCTCAGGGGGCCAGCGAGATTGGTTGTCCAAGGGATACTGAGGCCTGGCCTCAGAGTAAAGGAAGACTAACTTCCGTTTGTGAATTTCCTGGGACAAACAGAGTAGCCAGATTAGAAATGAGACACTGCAGCAGGGTCTGAGCCTCTGCTTTCATGGGCTGGTTCCTCACATCTATGACCACTTCCCAAAAAATATCCCGCTGAGAGGAGCGCCCAGCGTCCCAAGTGCACCAAGTCAGGGGAGACGGCCTGGGAGCCTGGGTGAGGGACATCTTCCCCACCACAGGGCCAGGGGCAAGTATCCTGGATACTTGCAATGGATGGGCTGAATGCCTGGACCTGGACGTAGCTACGATTTTGGACAGACCAGGTGAAATGGAGTTAGGAAGGGAAGCAGACTGGGGGAAACTGAGGGATTCACCGGAGAATAATCTATGCAGCGGAGAGCAGGCTGAGGTCGGGGAAGGAGGGGGCGGGGCCGCCGGTGGCCAGTCAGGGCCTCACGCTCACAGTCCTCCCACGTTTCGGCACCATATGTAAGGTAAATTCAAGCCGGAATAAGCAGGCAAAGAGAGGCAACAAAGGACCAGGTCATTTATTTAAATACCCCCGGGTGATGTTCTTGTGGCCTGGGTACTACAAGCGGGAGAAGTCATGCCTGGTTAGAGAGGTGGGGCACTTATAAGGGATTAGGAGGGGGAGGAGTGGGCAAGCTATCCTAAGGGATGTTGAGAGGTATGATTGGCTAAAGGTGACATAATAGTCAACTAGAAACTTTTTTCTTCCCAAAGGGAGGAGGCTGACATCTGGGTCTTAGTTGGCACATCAGGACGGAATTCAGGGA